ATCCGGCAATGTGCCGTGTGTTAGTAATTAATTGTGATATAAATGAAATTTGTCGTTCCTGTCGTTCGGACACTTTTTCTAGTTTTTGTTAAAAAGCATGAATTAGTGGTTTGTGGTCTGTATAAATTGTAAAATCCTTGCCTTCTAATAAGTGAGTGAAATGTCTACAACAATCGTACAGTATATGGCTAGAAGTTCTCTATCATAGGTCGAGTATCGCTGCTCAGTAGTTGTTAGTTTGCAACTGTGAAAGCCTAGTGGAAGCGATTTATTATTAATTATTTGGTGTACAACTCCACTGATTGCCCTATTACTGGCATCTGCAGTAAGTGTTAGTTTGGCTGATTCATGTGGGTGTGCTAAGTATGTTGACTTTTCCAATAATTCTATATATGTGTAAAATGCTTCTTTTGCTTCAGATGTCCAATTTACAACTCGCGTATCATTTTTCTTGTTATCTGGAATCAGTTCATTCAGATGTAGTTGGTGATGTGCGAACTGTGTTATAAAACGTCTATAAAAGTTAATCATACCGAGAAATCGCCGTAGATATTTTATTTGATTGGGTATAGGCAATTCTCTTATACTTTAGACTTTTTCTGGATCAGTTATGGTTCCTTCTTTTGAAATTTGATGTCCTAAAAAGGTTATTGATTCTTGTCTAAAACTGCATTTTTCTAGGTTGATTTTAATACCATGTTGGGCAAGTGTTTTTAGTACTGTGTTTAGATGTTTCTTATGTTCCTATTTGGATTCTTTGGAACGTTTGTGCGCTGTTTCTTAGTCCATATGGCATTTTTAAAAATTCAAAGTTGCCAAATGGTGTTATTATTTCGGTCTTAGAAATGTCTTCTTCAGCCATTTTTATTTGATTGAAAGCTTTTTCCAAGTCCAGCCTTGAGAAAATTATTTTGTTATGAAGTTGGATGTTTACATCATGTATGTGCGGTAAAGGATATATATCTGGGACAGTTACTCTGTTAAGTGCCCTATAGTCTCCACAGAGTCTCCATTGACCATTTCGTTTTTTTACCATGACAAGTGGGCTGCTCCAAGGGAAATTTGATGGGCGGTAAATGCCTTCTTCACACATTCTTTTTAATTCTTGTTTAGCTTTTTTAATTTTTTTGGTGATACACTTCGTGCTTTGGCTGATAATGACGGTCCGCTAGTTTATTTTCTATATTATCCGGTTTGTGTTATTCTTGTATCTGGTTCACTGTGTTTATAGAGACATCAACTACTCGGTCGGCCATTTCTGCAAGTTCGTCGACAGTTGCTGTTTTTTGGGGCTACTGCTAGTACTTTTCGGGCTTGTTTAGGTAAGCGTTGTAACCATATTTGTTTTATTAAGTGAGAAGGACAATTTTGTCCAGCTAATGATTGATTTTCGACAACATCAATAAAGGTTTTTCGTCGCCTAATGAAATTCCGGAAATTAATTCGCGAAATTTTTCTTCATCAGTTCTACCATATGTGTTAATCAGCCTATCTTTTAAATTTTGATAACAGTTTTTGGTATTGTCTAAATCTAAAATGTCACCTACTTTTCCTATTATGTCTTCATCTAGCATGGCCAAGATATTGTCAAATTTTGTTTGAGATATACTTATGTGTGATAGTCTAAATTGAGCTTCGGCTTTTTTGAACCATAGATAGATAAATTTGCTAGTTTCGTAAAGAATACTGCAAAGGAGATTGTAAAGTGAAAGTAGGAGTAGAATGCTAGGAAATAAGGAAACCTGATGGTGGGATGAGAGCGTTCAAAAAATCATAGAGGGTAAGAAAAAACAGTTTAAAGTACGATAGAAGATCAAAAAGAGAGAAGACTGGATGAAGTATAAACCCAACCCAACCGTTCGGTGAGCCGACATGGTTCGGATCTCTGCCCGCCTCTGCACACGGAGCAGGGCTTCACGGTTATTGGACGAATACTCGAGAGTATCCGCCCAGACTGGGGAGCCGTACAGGAGGACCGAGTGTACGACACTGACGAGAAGTCTGCGCCACATCTCCCTCGGCCCTCCCCGATTGGGCATCGATCAGACGCTTGTCTATGACCAGGCCCAGGTACGTAATGGAGTTCTGGAGCGAGAAATCCACCCCTAGCACAACGAGCCACGGAGGAGCGAACTTGTAGTCCAATTAACCCGAGTGAATCGAATATTGTTGCAATAGTCGATAGCACTGTGCATTTTGATATCGTTTGAACGCTTGACTCTTCGTTAAATTTATTCTGATAAAGGTCGTCACGAGTGCTTCATAATAGTCCTAGTGTTTTAATTGCACTTCCATCTTTATTTAGTATACAATGTGGGTCATTATTTATATTTGAAATTGATGATAATAATAACGGTTCATTAAATAACCAATTGATCCAATTTACGCAATGGAAAACCTGCGCTATTTGATCTCGTAAATTTTCTGCTTTTTCAATTCTATTAGCGCCTCCTAAGTATCCATCGACATAAAAATCTGATTTTATTGATTGGCTAGCTAGTGGATACTGTTCGCTATTTTCTTCTGCTAGTTTTTTAATACATGCTGTGGCTAAATAAGGAGCACTAGTTGTTCCATATGTAATTGTAGATAGACAATATTCTTTAAGATTTTTGTGTGGTTGTGAACGCCACAATATTTTTTGAAAACGTCTGTCGTCTTTATCCAACCATATTTGCCTGTACATTTTGGCGATGTCAGCAGGAAGCACGTACTTATGTACACGGAAACGCGCCAAAATACAGACAAGTTTATTATGAATCACTGGACCTTTCATTAGTAATTGATTATGACTTACTCTTGAGCTTGATGCAGCAGACACATCAAAAACAACTCGTGTTTGTGTAGTAGCACTATGATTACGTGTGGCATGTAGTACGATTTTTGATTTTCTATTTTGAATTCCTCTATATGATTAAGCTGAGCGTATTCGTTCATAAATTTAAAATATCTTTCATGGAGATTTATATTGTTTCGTAATTTGTTTTCATTAGTTAAAAAACGTCGCATGGCCATTGACTTAGAATCTCCAAGTTATTCAATGTCGTTTTTTAGCGGTAGTTTAACTATAAATTTAACCGTATTATCACGCTTTACCGTTCGTTCAAAATGTTCTACATACGCTCTTTCTTCAGAACTATACTGATTTTCTGAATTTATTTGTTCTAATTTCCAAAATTTCGATATGAGCTCGTTTAGATCAACTCTGTTGTTTTGTTAGTCGAACTTGTAGCTATTCCAGCAAATATCCATCCTAATTTGGTTTCTTGGAAAATAATTTCATTGTCATTTTATGTATGTTTACCAGCCATTAATATTGTATAAAAACATTCTGCGACTAAAAAAAACATCTATTTCTTTTGGTACATAGTAATGTGAATCTGTTAACATTATACCCTCGGGAATCTTTACGTCGTTTGTGTTAATTAAATCAGTAGGCAACAACGAAGTTATTTTCGGCAACGATAGAAATTCAAGTTCATTGCTGTAGTTGTTATCTCGGAACTGTATTATCGTTTTGATAGAATAATACGATTTGCTCATTGAATTATCAACACCGGCTATATCGATATTAACTCTTTTTTTTGGTAACTTCAATTTTTACGCCAGGTCGGTCGTTACAAAATTTGTTTGAGACCCAAAGTCTAACAATGCTCGAACAACAAAATTTTTCTTTTGATTTTCCTTCAATAATTATTATTGCTGTTGATAATAACACTTGTTTTTGATTTTTATATGTTACGTGAGTGCTTATTAAATTTTCGTTGTCAATTTCTTCTGACAAATGAAGCAACGTGTTATGTTTTTCTCCACATTTTCTGCATTTAGAAAATTTACATGCGTAACTTTCTATCGTTGAGATAAACATACCTCACAAATATAGAGTTGATTAATCTTATTACGGCGATCTTTTATGTTTAGTTTAAGAAATTTTTTGCAATGATAAATTGCATGTGATGTTTCGTTACACATGTAGCATTTAAACCTTTTTTGAGTTGTATGTAACACGGTTTTCTTTTGCTGTTACGCACCTGTAATATATAAAATCAGCTACACGAGCAAAGACAAAGAAGATTTTATATGACATATGTATTATATTTACGACAGCCATAAAGGTCAGAAAGTCAACGAAACATTACATGGGTTCTATGGACAACGTTGACCTTCTACCATAGATTATATATGTATTTAATCTATGCTTCTACGCAAGGGAACAGACGAGCGCATACGCACATTCGAACTAGTGATGGGCATAATCGAATGATTTCGATAATCGAATGATTAGTAATCGAGACATTTTCATAATCGAGTGAATCTCTCGAAAAATCACTCGAAGTTAAAATCGTCTGCTCGTATGATAAGAATAATCAACTATTATTATTTATCGAGAGAATCGAAAAATTATACGAAATATGAATAAATATACCTATAGTAAATAATTATTAATTTAATTTTGCTTTTTTTATTTGTTGGTGTTTATTTATAATTAATATATTAAACTATAATTTAGGAATAATAATAACAATAATATATTAATAATGCATTATTAATAAGTGCTTTAAATAAAAGACAAGTTGTTATTTTTTTTATTTAATAATTATTACCTATATTTTAAAAAAACCGATAACAAATTTAAAAATAAAAACATAAGATAAGGTAGCAATAGCCTGCTTGACCATTATTATTTTCATAATCGAGATATCTCGATTATATATCTCGATTATGCCCATCACTAATTCGAACAGCTCCCTCGTAGTTACAGGGCAAACGTGAACTATATCATCAACCGCCAGGTGACGTTAATAAAAAACTCGTTTGTTCTGGCACATACATCCGAGTCTCTAAACCGTAATCATCCGAGAGACGAAAAGCAAGTAAAGAACACACCTAATGGGACATTATAATCTCATAAAATTGGTCATACTGTATTTTGCTCGTATGATATCTAATATTCTTGTTTTGTTTGAATTGTTGTTATCTCTACAGGTAGAGTTTGTTGTTGTACATTTGAGTATATGAAATGTTTGGAGTAAAAGCATTGTAATTTGTGTACATAGGAGTATTAAAATTTAAAAATCTGTAGATGAACATTTGATAATCATAATAAATGTTTTAAATTTTCTGATTTAATAAAATAACAAACCAAATACAACATAGTTATTTAAATTCATCTGCATTATTATGTTTTATTAAATTTAAATTTAATTCAATAAAGTATTAAAAATAAAAATGCCGCCAGTTTTAAAATGTATCGAGATGGACAATTTTAAGTCCTATCGAGGATATCATATGATAGGACCGTTGAAGAATTTCACTGCTGTGATTGGGCCCAATGGTTCAGGTAAGTAAAATGTGTTAGCATTTTTTTTCTATTCACTAAATATTTATTTTAACCTTTAGGCAAATCAAATTTTATGGATGCTATTAGTTTTGTTATGGGAGAAAAAACTACAAGTCTTAGAGTAAAGAGATTAGGTGATCTTGTACACGGGGCTTCAGTAGGACAACCAGTTTCTCGCACGTTAGTATACTAAAGTGTTCATTTATTTTTATTCAATTATGAATATTGAAAAATATTTCTGTTTAAAGTGCAAGTGTTACTGCTGTATTTCAAATGGATGATAATGGAACTGAAAAACGCTTTACAAGAACTGTGCAAGGATCATCTAGTGATTACAGAATTAATGACGAAGTATATTAAGAAACTTTTAATATAGAGTGAAACAGATATATTTAACAACTTTTAGTAGGATTAAGATTTCACTGTAATTTTTTTTTTTTTTTACAATTTTGGATTTGTAGATTACGTTAGGTCTGAGACACCTGTATATTTATATGTGTTATAATAATTTATGCATTCTGAGACTATGTTAAAATTATATTTTTTATTGTTTGTTTTTAATAATGAAAAAAAAAATTTTTTCAAAAAAACTAAAGTTTAGTACCTTTTTTTACAAAAATGATTAATTGATCGAAAACAATTTTAAGACAAATTCTTGTCGAGTTACAAGTGTTTTAAAGCATATAGTAGGTATATAACGTAAGTGAAGTATGCATTATGAGTATGAGTTTACCAACCTATGCCTTATACCAACTTATGTATTAAAATGCTTGTAACTCACTAAGTACTCGTCCTAAAACTAATTAGTCCATTAAAACTTTTTTAAATGTCTAAAAAATAGCTAGTTTAAAAATTTTAAATTAAAAAAAAATTTATATTTTTTTTTATTATTAAAAACAAATAAAAGTTGACTAATAATCATTGTTATTGAAGCCTATTTTGGTAAATAAGAAAAAAACAAATAATAAAGAATAAGTTTTTAACATAGTATAAGATTTCAAAAATGATTAAAAAGAAGTAATGTAAATTATTTAGTAAACCAAAAGTTATAAGAGTTGTCTGTTAGATCAGTTTTACTAGTATATTCAACAAATACATTAATTCTTATTATAAATGTATTTATTTTCAGTCAGTTTCTAATCAAGAATACTTTGCTCAGTTAGAACAGATTGGTGTGAATGTCAAGGCTAAAAATTTTTTAGTTTTTCAAGGTGCTGTTGAATCAATTGCTATGAAAAATCCTAAAGAAAGAACAGCACTCTTTGAAGAAATCAGCGGGTAAGTAATCTTAGGTTTAAACCAGTCGTAGCTATTCAGATGTTGAAAATGAACATTTCATTTTCTTTGAATGTTTTATTAATTAAGTACAATGTTTTTATTTAATAATAATCATTATTATACAAAACGATTACAAATTCAGCTGTGAATGGGTACTTAACAAACAAAACATGTTTAGTCCAATTTGCATTGTTTAATTTAAAAGTAAATTCCTGATCATAGATATATCACAAGTAGTTTTGGGCATATTGATTTCAAAATTTATAAATCGCCTTCAGCAATACTATAAAGAGTGATCCACAATTTTTAATAAATTTAATCATTTTGATACAGCTAATATTTTGTGTTAATTTTTTAAAAATAATTTGTACAGTTTTGAACTATATTAAAAGCACGTTAGGTATTATTTATTTATAAGGAAAAAAAAATTAAGATATTTTTATGAAATTTTAAAATAGTAATTTTTTAGACATTTTTTACAAAAAATTTTGATGGGTGAACAGTTTTAGAATAAGTACTAATTAGTTATAAGCATTTTAATACATAGAGTGGATATGTAGCACGGGTGGGGATTGCACATGCATCAGATAATTGTATATGACTGTATCCACTTTTGCTACACAAATCTAATAAAAGACACTTAAAACAATAAATTATTTGTCATTAGCTTTATTGTGCATAATTTCAACCTCTTTTCTTTAAATAATATTCTTGAGTAATGTTAATATGACATTATTTATGATATGTGTGTTCATTTGTAGGTAGATAATATTAAGTTGTCCAGTTAACTGTCTAATGCATATTGTATTTTTTGGGCTATTGCCTGTATAATTAATAATAAATAAATTTGTGTATTTAACTCATAATATCAACTTTTGGTACATATCCTTATTATAATTAATATATTGTACAATAAAAATAAAATTAATATCAAAATTTTAATTTATTTAGATATGATATTGATATTTTGATATTATTTGCGTATTTATAATTAAGAGTATTTTTAACAATTATAAAATCTTAAAAACAAAATATTATAGTAAAACTGCTGCTATAACTAATGTAACCTTATATATTTTATTGTAATGTATTTGTAGTTATATTTTTTACTCCATTGAAAATTAGCCTAAAAAGTCATTTGAGTTAAAAAAAATTAGTATATTTGCTTATTATTTTAGTTCTGGGACTCTTAAAGAAGATTATGATCGTTTAAAAGCTGAAGTAATGAAAGCTGAAGAAGAAACTAACTTTACTTACCTTAAGAAAAGAGGAGTTGCAGCTGAACGTAAAGAAGCCAAGTTAGAAAAAGAAGAAGCTGAAAAGTACCAAAAACTTAAAGATGAATTGGTGAGAGAAGTTTTTTATTCTTATTTGTTTTATTATTAACTTATAAAAATATACTTGATAACTTTGAGAAAATTGATCTTAAAGTATTTGTTTTTTATATTATAGCATGTAAAATATTTAATTTTTTAGGATTTTTTACAATTTTTTGATTAATAGAACTATTTATTTTTAGTTCAACTACTCACATTATTCCATTTTTTTTTTAAATCACATAAATCCCTTGCATTCTAATTGATTATTTTACATGTGAAATTTATTTTTATTATTAAAATTAATTTTCAGGCTCAAAAAGAAATTGAGTATCAATTATTTAGATTATATCAAAACGAAAATATGATAAAAAACTTTGAGCTAGATTTAGAAGACCGTAAAAGAGATGTTGCTAAAATTGAAATTAAGAAAGAAAAAGCAGAAGAAGTGGTAAAAGAAAAAAAAAAAGAACAAGGAAAAGCAAGTCGAGATTTAGCGAAAATTGAACAAGAAATTAGAGAAATTGTAAGATATTGTTTATTATATTGATTCTCTTGTTCAAAACTGCAACTCATAAAAACTATTTTTAAGTATAATGATTTAAAAAGGAATTATCACATTACCTCTAATATATTATAATATATAAAATTCAATTTTAAATATGTTATCTTTAGAAAAATAATTTTGCTTTACTGAATTGGATTTATAAACTTTAAATATTGAATAATGAATTATTATAATATAACAAATTAGAGATATAAATTTTTTTAACTGTTTCAATTTTTAAATTGATATATATATAGGAGACTTTGTATATTACATACATAGTGTAACTACAAATATTCTTTTAAAGAATTTAAATAAATTAATCTTTTTAATATTTAGGAAGTAGAAATCAATAAAAAGCGTCCTTCATTTATTAAATCAAAAGAAAGAGTTGCTCATATATTAAAAAAACTGAATACAGCCAAAAAATCTTTAGCTGAAGTAGTAATGGCTAATGAAGCTCATAAAAGAGATATTGAAGAACTTGAAGCTGAACTAAAAGAAGTTGACAAACGTCGGCAAGAATATGAAGAACAAGTAGCAGGAGAAAGTCATAGTCAAGGAAGAGATGTTCAACTTGAAGATGCTCAGGTAGTTTAAACTATTAGGGAGTTCGGTGGAAACTGTCCATGTACTTAGACTTATAAGTCACATTGCATGTACCTTATACTGAATTTTAGTAATTTGGTTTCTTCACCTAAGTATTGTTATTATTTATTATATCAAACACTATACATGTAGGGTGTTCCTATTTATGTCCAAAGAGTCTTATCTTTCTGGCAAAATATTTCTTTGGATTTTGGGTTTTAAGATATTAAGGTAATAAAGAGTAAAGATTATTATTTATGTGAAATATTTCAACTTTATTATTAATATAATAATTGTAAGAGATTATTATATGTTTGTAAAAAATATTTTATACCTTTTTAGAGATTTTATTGAAATAAGAAAAATTAATCTTCAATTAAAAATATTTGTAGCATTTCTGATGTTGGGAAATAATTTTATTAAATAAAATTTTTTATTTTTTCATTTTATTATTATTTATTAATATTTTTATAGTTTATTTCAATAATTTCACTTAAGAAGCAACATCACCTATCTCACATTTTGTCAAAATGAGTTAGCAACATCATTATATGTAAAATTTTGCAGAAAATCTAATAGCGGAATCAATTTTTTGATAAAATCAATAGATAGTGTGCTAAAAAATAATAAAATACTCATAATAGGTACTAACAATTTCACAGCAAACTGATTTTTGCTCTCCTGTAAAATTTACAAAAATGAAATATTTGTTATTGCTTATTAAGTGACAATATACTAAATTAATTATATGTTAAGAAATTTTTATAATGTAACTTACATAGATTCTTTTTACTGAAATCTTATTTTGTATTGTAACTTATTTCTAATTAATTAATACATTTTACTGTTTTAGGTAGCTGAATACAACCGTCTTAAAATTGAAGCTCGTAAACAATCTGCTCTTTATTTACAAGAGTTAGATTCTATTAATAGAGAGCAAAAAGCTGATCAAGATAAGCTTGATAATGAGTTACGTTTAAAGTCTGAGTTAGAAAATAAAATAAAACAAAAAACTCATGAAAAGGAAGAAGCTCAAAAGCGTGTAGACAAGTTGACTGAACACATTAAAACTAGTGAAAATGCTTTAGAAGAACAAAGAAAATTATATGACGAACTCAGAAAAGATGTTGGCTCATCTAAAGATAAAGTGTCCAAATTACAGCGAGATTTGGATAATGTAACTGAGCAATTAGGAGATGCTAAAGTAGATAAACATGATGATAATAGGCGCAAAAAAAAACAAGAACTTGTTGAGAACTTCAAAAAGGCATATCCTGGAGTGGTTGGTGAATCAGTAAAATTTAGTTACTATAATGTTTAATTAATATATACACTTTTTTAAATGATTTTAGTATGATCGTCTTATCAATATGTGTCACCCAATTAGTAATCGATATAATGTAGCTATTACAAAAGTGTTGGGTAAATACATGGAGGCCATAATAGTAGATTCTGAAAAAACAGCACGATTATGCATTCAGTATTTGAAAGATCACATGTTAGATCCAGAAACATTTTTACCTATTGATTATCTTCAAACAAAACCCTTAAAAGAACGTTTGCGTAATATTAGCCGTCCTCATAATGTTAAACTTATGTATGATGTATTAGAATTTGATCCAGAAATTGATAGAGTTGTTTTATTTGCTACCAATAACGCATTAGTCTGCGAATCACCTGAAGATGCTAACTATGTGGCTTATGAACTAGAAAGAGATGGTAGATATGATGTAAGTAAAAGCTGTTTCAGAATAACAATTATTTTATTTAAAAGAAATATTTTGAAAATATTTGATTATTTAGATTTATAATATGGTTTACAATATTTTGACAAATCTAATCATTTTTATCTGCTAAATAATTTGTGTTACTTTTAGCTTCGATAGGAAGCTGAGAAAGTATTAAATTGACTATTATGTTTTTTTTTTATATTTTTTTGTGTCTATTACAACTTCTTCTCAGCTCTCACTGAACTAATTTCTTTCAACGATACGTCAAATAATCACAAGTCATATACATTTCCCTCAAAAATTAAAAAATTCCCCGTAAATGGAGGAAACTTCAAAAAAATTACAATTTTAATCATTAATTTTCAACATTTTTTCAATTTTTTAAATTTAAAACTGCTATAACTTTTTTAAAAATGATCAAATCAATACAATTTTTTTTTATAGATATATGAGGTATTACCTATCATTTTGTATATTTTCTTTTATAAATCTGACCCTTTACCTGCCAACAGGAGGGCATTCAAAATAACAACTTATTCAACTTAACTTTTGAAAGTATTCCGGAAAGTCAGACATTTTTATATATATTTTAAATTAATTCTATTACATACTTTATTATAGAAAAAAAAAATTCTGACATTATTTTGTCTTCACGGTGAAAATGGCTATCGTTTGCTATTTTTGTGAGAAAACTATCGATTTTATAATTTACATTTTTTACTTTAAAGTGCTATAACTTTTTAAAAAATGTATGGATCATTAGAATTTTTTATATGAAAAATACTATTTATATACCTCTTTTATTTGACGTACTTTTTTTTAAAATCATACCATTTCCCTTTTTACAAAGGGGTTCAAATCTTAAAAATGCATATAGAAAATAGAACTTTTTCAACTTAACTTTTGAAAGTGTTCCAGAAAGTCTGACACTTTTATATATATCTTAAATTAAATCTAATGTAATATACTTTATTATGGTAAAAAAAAATTTCGGACTTCATTTTATCTTCATGGAGAAAACTGACATCAAAGTTAATAAAAAAATACGATTTTTATAAAAAATTACAATACTAAATTATTAAATATCAATTTCATACTGTATTTAATTGCTATACTAAATATTTATTCATGTATTACACTTATAAATCATAAAACTTGTAATCAGGATATAAATAAGGTGAAAAGAGATTATGTTACTTTTGGAATTATCCACCATTTTTCTAAAATTAAACACAGATTTGTGTTCTAATCTACAGATTTGCATTAAAGCGTTTTTTATGATAGTGATTTTAATCACTGTCAGATATCATCTATACTGAACTCAACTATGTAACGTCCCCACTGTGCTGAGTTTTTTTAAAAGTAATTTATGCATAATTTGTGTAATATGACCAGCTTGCACCAAAAACCAGACACCAATAATCAGAAAATCACAAGAAAAATTTCATTGGCACCCAGGGGATTAAACCCGGGGCTATGTGTGTCGAAACATACATTTCTGCCCACTAAGCAAGGCCATTCCCTAGGAATGCATAAATTATTAAAAAGAAAAAGTAACAAAAAATATTTAGTAGATTAAAAATTAACACATTTTGAACCACTTTGTATAATCAATTAGTTTTGAAATATTAATAAAAAATTTTATACTTTTTAATATAAATATTAACAGGCTGTAGCTCTTGATGGTACATTTTATCAAAAATCAGGAATAATATCAGGGGGTAGTTTAGATTTGGCTCGTAAAGCAAAGCGATGGGATGAAAAGCATATGACACATTTGAAAGCATCAAAAGTAATGTATATTACTTAAAAGAAATATATGTTTATAAACTTAATGTTATTCTATTAATTTATAGGAAAAATTATCTGAAGAATTACGTGATGCTATGAAAAAATCTCGTAAAGAATCTGAATTAAACACAGTTGATTCTCAAATTAAAGGTCTAGACATGAGGCTTAAGTATGGTAAAACTGACAAAGAAAATACTGTATGTTAATTATATTTTTTAAAGTATTTCTAATAAATATATTTCTGAATTAGTTCAAGTAAATCGTAATATTAAAAATTTTTTTTTTGATAAGCTTTGATTTGTTAATTTTAGCTAAAACAAATAAGAGATCTGGAAAAAGAATTGAAATTTTTGGAAGCAAAATTGGAAGGAAGTGGTGTAAGCATTTATTTTTTTATTAACTGAATATAACGTGATTAAAAAAAAAGTTATTTACAGCCTCGTATTGAAGAAATTGAGCGAACAATGCATACTAGAGACTTAGAAATCCAAACAATGCGTGGTCGTATGAATTCGGCAGAAGATGATGTTTTTGCTGATTTTTGCCGCCAAATTGGAATGGCCAATATTCGTCAATATGAAGAACGTGAATTAAGATCTCAACAAGAAAGAGCTAAAATTCGCTTAGAATTTGAAAATCAAAGAAATCGGATTATGAGTCAGCTAGACTTTGAACGTACAAAAGATACTCAAAGTAAGATATAAAATTATAACTTTTTATGCTTTATATACATATAATATTGTCATGATGCAAAAATTGACCAAGAGGAAATAATATTTTTTATTTTTTTAATTCTTCAATAATGATCAAAAACTTTTATATAAAATAAATTATTTTAACGTGACACAGTATTAGGGTTGTTTAATAATAGTGAAACTTAACACCGTATTTACTTTAAACTGTAGGATTAGTAATTTTACTTTAAAATAAAGATAATATTATAATAGTAATATAATAAAAGTAACCCTGACGTATTTAAAAATATGGGTGATGCTGAACGTCCCTGACCTGTCCTATCTACCAACCGCCGGATAAGATGAACATAGTGTTATTGTCAACACTAACAAGTGCAACGGTGGACAGATGATAATCACGAACGGATAACGTGCTAATCCATAGTAAATGAATAGTGTGCTATTATGGATTGTGTCAAACATAATATTGTTTATTAGTCAAATTACAATGAAACCGAAATTTTTAGTTAAGATATTGTATAAAGATATTTATTACACTTAATATTTATTAAGTATTAAGTTAAATTTAAAATTAATTCTTGAATATTTAGATAATGTTACACGCTGGGAAAGAGCCGTGCATGATGATGAAGAAGAGCTAGAGAGAGCTAAACAAGCAGAACAGAAACAAATGTCTGAAATTGAGATGGATATGAAAGAAGTTGATAGGCTTAAAGCTCAAAGACAAACAAAAAAACAAGAAGTCGATCAGATGGATGAAGTTATTAGCAAGGTATAAAATTATTACTTTAAAATAAGTCATTTGAATTATTTTGAAATATTTAAATTATAGGCTAGAAAAGAAGTTGGTGCTATTGCTAAAGATATTCAAGCAGCTCAAAAACAAGTGACCAACTTGGAGAACAAAGTAGAAATGCATAGAGCGGATCGTCATGCAATTTTAACTCATTGCAGAGTTAGTAAAAATATAAGTCTAATTTTTATTATAGTATTTAAAACCATTATAAAATATTATTATTATTAAAACTATTATAATAGTAATTAAAATTTTTCTTATGTGTATTTTATAGATGGAAGACATTAACATACCTTTGTTACAAGGAAATCTAGAAGATATAATTCAAGATCAATCAGTAAATAATTCAGAAGAACATGGTCGAGATAGCACTGCTAATACTCAAGAAATTTATGATCAAGAATCAAGGTATAATACATTATGATTGTTAAAAAAAAATATTGGTGCTTAAATGCATCAGCTCATAATATGAGATGTTGCATCTAAAGGGATTATGTATATTTTCAATATTAAATGTTTATTTCCTTTTATAGAATAACTGTTGATTATTCCTCATTACCAGAACATTTAAAAGATTTGGAAGACGCAGATGATATTAAAAAAGTCACTGATAAAATGGCTAAGACCATGGCAGAACAGTCAATGAAACTTCAAAAAATACATGCACCTAATTTTAAGGTAAATTGATAAAATGCTGGCTTATTTTATAAATTAATATGTTATTAATTTAAAAATATTTTGCACAATAACAGTTTTGAGTAACAGTTTTTTAAATAAATTTTTTCATTACTAAATGACTAATGAAGAAAATTCATTACCAATAATGTCGACTATTGAACTAGATGATTATATTTCAAAAGATAGTAATAAACAGTGTAATCCAAAACTTAAAGAAAAAATTAAATTTAACATTTCAAAATTAATCTTAGGCATAAATAGTAAAACTAAAGATGTGTTTTATCAATATACCATTATTTTACAAAAAATACCACCTAAAATAGTTATGCTTATTACTTTAATCAAGAAAAAATTGAATGATTTGATAGAAAAGAAAGAATGCCACAAGGTAAAATATAAAAAAAAACAAGTTCTCAGATTAAAAAAAGAAATAAATGATATTGAAATAGATTTATGGTATAAAAAAAAAATGGTTTATAATTCAAAAACTATGATTAACTATTATACTGAAAAAAATGGTCAAAAGCTAAAGTTGTTGGAATTATTATTGAATACTAAACAAGAAATTTATAATCATAAATACAACAATATGTCTATACCAAATAAAATAAAAACAAATGTTATAATTTACTTGGTACAAATTTCAAACTTACTTCATATGATGTTAGAAAACGCCAAAGATGTTCCATTTGATCAACTAGATTTAGTTCAAAAAAAATTTCACTTATTATTAAAACTTAGGAAGCAAATAATTAAACATATAAATAACATGTATAATTATATGCAATATTTTGAACAATATTGTGATGAATAATAAAATTTATAAATTTAATTCAATTAACCTAGTTTATTATTTTTGTGTATCTTATTATTTAATTTTTCTAATAAATTCATTGTAATAAATTGTATAAAATACAACTGAAAATTTATTTTAATAGGCATTACAAAAACTTGATCAAGCTAGAGAAAAAATGCAAGAAACTGACCGAGAATTCAATAGTGCTCGAACACGTGCCAAAAAAGCTAAACAAAATTTTGAACGTATTAAAAAAGAAAGGCATACTAAATTTACTGAATGTTTTGAACATGTGGCCAATGAAATTGATCTTATATATAAAGTAAATATTAAATTAGAGTGTTTCATCTATATAATTTAAATTAAATTTTAAAGATAAATAAATAAACAGTTTTATAATTTTTTTATTTAGGCGTTATCAAAGAATCAATCAGCTCAAGCATTTCTTGGCCCTGAAAATCCTGAAGAGCCCTATTTAGATGGTATTAACTATAATTGTGTAGCACCAGGAAAACGATTCCAGCCAATGTCTAATCTTTCAGGAGGTGAAAAAACAGTTGCTGCACTAGCTTTATTGTTTGCGATTCATAGGTATAACAGAATTTTTACACATTTTTGTTTCTTATTACAAACTTTGTTTTTGAAACATATATTCAATTTTAGCTATCAACCGGCCCCTTTCTTTGTTCTTGATGAAATAGATGCTGCTTTAGATAATACTAATATTGGAAAAGTTGCTTCTTACATATTACAAAAGAAAAAAAATTTACAAACAATAGTTATATCTTTGAAAGAAGAATTCTTTCATCATGCTGATGCTTTAGTGGGAATTTGTCCAGATGTAAGAGCTTATTTGAATTAACTTAATCTTTAAAAATTAAAGTTACATAATATTTTTTTTTTATTCCAGGAGGGCCAATGTTTAATCAGCAAGGTCATTATGATGGATCTAGCAGAGTATCCATTGGCTGAATCTGAAGAAAATGTAGCCTATTCATTACGTTAATTTTATAAATTTTGAAATTTTAATTTCAAACATAGATATACTAAGGACTTTTGTATTGATATTTATAATAATTATTTACTATTTATCTAAAAACTATTTATTCCCTAATCTTATTTTATAATTTAAAAAGTAATAGTCTAGTTTGTACTCAATAAATTAATTTCAATTTTTTATATTGATGTAAAATTTTGAAGATATATATTAATGAAGTAAGATAAAAATAAATGCATTCTCTATGTTGTATTTTAATAATGCATTACTTCAAAGTTTTAATTATCAGATATGAGCTTCATATATAGTATATAATGATTATAATATTAAAGTTAATTGTATTTAGTAATTAAACAAAAAAGTTATAGTGAGGAGTTCAACTTTTTGTATGGAAGGATGTTATTCAAAGCAATATGAGGACAGCTGATGGTTGCATAGATGATGTGAGAGATCATGTCAAGTGGAAGTTAAGGATAAGAATGGCTGACCCTAAGTAGTTAGGATAAAGATGTAATAATTTTTTGCTTCATATTTTTTCAAAATTTACAAATTTGGTATTCTTTAAATCCTTATAAAATTTTCCATTTGTCTGTTAAGATTTTTAATTGTAAGTTAGACCAAAAAGAAGAGTTATACTCATTAGTAGTTTTTTTTTATTAGAAATGACACAGACACACAACTTGAAAGATCTAAAAAATTGGTTAAATTTGATAGAACATATCAAATTTTTTGAACTCTTATTAAACATCATGTAATTATTTTAGGAAATTTAAAAAAGGGATGTTCTGTATTTTTTATGATGATTTTACAATGTAATTATTGCTTCATACTAATAACTATTATTGCTTCATAACAATTATCTTTAAAACTAGATGTGATAAAAAAAAATTGAAACCAAATTCCGAATTAGCGTCAACATTTTGTGAAAAATAAAACTTTTTTTGTTATTTGTTCCCTTGTAATTTTTGTGTACAACAATTATTTCCCAAGATTGAATTTTTTCTGTAGTATTCTTATAAAATGTTATCTTAAAAATTAAATAAAGTATATTTGTAGACATAAATATCCAATTACGATTCACGTTTGAACCGATAATCGTGTTATATTATTATTAAATAAAGACACTTATATATCAAACGGATCGACCGACTACTTTAATAGAGGTATTTCTTCTGGTTATTAAGCCACTCGGGACTATCTCATTTCATACTCTAATCTCCATCCTTTCTAATTTAAGCCTCCATCAAGTAATTTCACCACTTTTTTAATCAAGTCCTCCTATCGTATTTTGGGATTTTCCAGTGGTCTTTTTTCAAATGGGTTTTGTTTCATTGCTGTTTATATCAGTCCGTAGAGGTATTTACTTTTACTATTTAATTTATTAAAAAAAGGAAATGTATAAACTAGCTATTATAACAATAACTAGATAGTTATAGATAATAAAAGTTGTTCCTATATTAATCAACCAAGGAGCGTGTGCGAGAGTGGGAAAGAGAGATAGACTCTCATCTTAGAGCTCTCCACCCCAGCAAGAGATCTTATTATAAAATATATATTATAATAAATCATGGAGTAATTACTCTACACAATAAAAGGACCTCTTGTCTAAATGTTTAATTTTTCTATATAGAATTGAAACCTTAAATACTTCTACTTCTAAAGAAATTTATTTTTTACAGCATAAAACTTTATATTTTGATAAATATGGTAATAATATTGTTTTTGTTAATGTATTTATTTGTTTATTCGTTACCTTTTTTCAACAAACCACCGTATTAGGTGAGATGGTAACATAATTGAAGTTTCTTATAGAAAATCATGCAAGAACTCAACTTTTTTTTCGGTTACCTAATAAACTAGAATTAAAATATATATTTGCCTTGAAAATTAATTAACATGTGTATATATATATAAAGTTATACTATTTTTAAAATAAAAAAGACGAAATTGTTTTCTGACTCTCTAGAAAAGTGTTAATATTGTCGTTTACAGAAAATAACCTTTTAACCGATCATATTATTGGTACACATTTAGTTTAAATACCGATTATAATATTTTTATATATACCTCGTATATTTTACGTTTATTACTAATTGTGAAAATAAATAAAAAATAGTGAAATATATGTGAAAATAACAACCTAACATTAACAAAACTTAAATGTACAAGTAAAAGATAAATGTATATGTAACATCTACGGTCATTATTAAAGTGTATTTTTTACGTACCGTACATATAAAAAATGTACTAATTATACTCGTCTATTATAAGAATATTTCAAACGTATATGAATTTACCAAATAGGGTCCAAACGTTTTCATCGAATATACGTTCAATGTCTACTGGGTATTGATCTAAAGAAAGAAAGATGGTCACATAATCGTGTGAATGTTTTCTTCATTAATCTTATTTAACCAAAATCTATTTCAAAAGTGAGATGTATGTTTATAGAATATGATTAAATCTAGCTTTGTAGTTAAGACGTTGATATTAAAAATTAAATTTTGTAAAATATAGTATTTTCTTTTACATTAAACTGCTTCAGATGTGAGTCAAGAGTAGAATATTGTTGTATTTTCTGAATAATTACTTTAGTGATTTAATTATAGTCCACCTTTTAATGAATTTTAACTACGATTAATTTTCTCATCGTATTGATTACTTAATAAAATTTACAAATAATTTTCTAATGATTTTTGTAAGTTACACTTTTGCAAGATACTATTGGTGAACAAAATAAAACCTTGAACTAACTGAGAAATGGTACCCTTGCTTGTACTTAACCAGGTGGGTGCATTCAGGTTTAATACCTTTATACACACGTATAGACTTATGTATAGTATGTCACGAGGTTGCTTTATCATAAACTAATAAATTTAGCAAAGGCACGTACCCGATTCTATAAAAAAAAACTTTATTATAGTTCAGTGTTAGATCTCCCTCTTCCGATCTCCGAGGACTATAATAATATTAATACAATCAATAGACTGCAGATGCACAAGCCACGATGGCAAATTGTACAGTAAGTGACTATAGCGGCTGCTGTCTCATACATACGAGGTTTTATAAAATATAAATGTACTCTAAACACATTAACTATTGTAATAGGGTATTAGCCTTTGTTGTTGTTATAATAACAACCAAAAATTATTTGTCGTGAGCTCTAATTGTTCAGGGTCGTTATGAAATATCACATTTTATATGAATTTTGTATTTTATTATATTTATGTCACATTGTATCTTATGACTTATATAAAGCAAATGTATCGGTATACGGCCGTTTGATTTTCTTTAGTCAGCCGTCGGTTCATTCATTCGTTTCGTTTTCATTCACTTAGGTCATTATTTCAATGGACCGTTTGCGACAAATCTGCAGGAGTACGTTAGTCATTATAGGATTATTTACAGCTATAATAACCATTCTTAATATCACATAATGCACCTATATTATTACAAGTCAGTGAATGGGGTTTATTTTTTTTTTCAGTTTTGTGGCTGAACATAAATGCAAGTGACTTAAACTGATTATTTGTACCTATCCGATTTACTTCAAAAGTTTGTTTGTTATTAAGTATATTATGTATTAACCGTTAACTTGCATTGTCTCCAAAGATGTAGCACGTGTTACATTCTGTATGAAATAAAAAAACTATTGTAATTGGGTAAAATTATATTAAGTACTCAACGACTTATTTTCGAGAATGATTTCAAACGACGTGAAGTATTGAGACCTGATTCAATAACTAATATTTTTGTTAACTTAAAAATAATTTATGTACCATCAATTTTAATAAATATTTAGTCCATATATTTTGAGTATGGATGATGTTTACTTAAAATTATACTTAAATAATTTATTGTAAAAATGATTGAAAATCTATTTCAGACATAAGACATAATTTATGAAGGGGTTTTTAGTTTCAGATAAATTAATTACATTATATTCGTTTAGAAATTATTGCACCTTTTTATTATTATCCAATTTGTTAAGTGTTTAAATAGCTATTGTTGAGAATAATGATGAAAATGTTTAAATAGATTAAAAATAATTAATTAAAGAATAATGTTTTGCTCTTTTAACATAATAATATAAAATGATTATACTCATCATGGACTATTTTATCAGAGTGCGATTAATCCTCATGCTTGGTTTTTCTCTAATTCTCTCTGCACTGTACTTTTCTACCCTTGGAAATAATTTTGTAGACAATGTCGGCGGACAAGTCTCTAGGGATAGTTACCGCACACGACATATAAGCCACCCGAAATTGAAATATATGTAATATACAGAAATGTACGGCTCAAAAAGGGAGAAATTGACGCCCCTTATAAAGTAAGCCGCAAGGGAAAATGGACGATCTCCGTTACTCTAAAGCTTAGATAGGCTTTGTCGATTCGAAACTTTAAGTATCACACCCGTTAAATTATTTTCCTATAATGTTATATATTAAATAACAACGAAAATAATAACGAATGACAAAAGGCTAGGTAATTAATTGGGATTATTGTTGATTTCATTTAAGTTACGTGTAACGATATTTTAAAAGCTAAACAATATGAACATAAGTACATTAATCATTTAACTATTAATATGTACTATACGTTAAATACAAATAATTATGTGTAAATATCACTCATAAATAAAGTTAATTTAATGAAACCATTGTACGAAGCTATATAGGCTCATAGGCTTATGTAATGTTCAAATTACTATAAATTTATTTCACAATTAATTTGTGAGCTAACTAATATCTTCCTTAATACAAATTTAAGTTATTAGTACACAAAAAATTGAGTTTTGGAGTGAAAGTCCTCTCATATTACAATAATATAATAAATTAAATAGGATCTCAAGTAAAAGTCGTCTCATAGTATACTTATAATAATGTAGGATTCAATAGAATCGAATAAATATAAATAACAAAAAGGGTTTCAATTTCAAATTATTCAAAAAAAATACTTTTTAACAATAAATAATAATAAATTAAGCTGAAAAAAAAAAACATAGTCACTGCCATTTCAAGAATAATTATGTTGTTCAGACACAATAATTCAGTTGCTAAGCAATTAATACATTTATAAATATTCAATATTTTGTGAAAAAATTTAGACGCTTCACTACGTTAAAATCTCTCGAATCAATAATTTATTTTATTTTTTTAATAAGCAAATAAATTAAATCGTACTTCCCAAGAAGTTTTTCTGTAGTGTACAGTTGAATTATTGTTGTATTAAGCGTTGATCAACATTTTACAATGGCA